ATTATTTCAGGGAAAGATGCAAATATTTAAACTCCAGAGGAGTGACACTTGAGATATAAGAAAACAAATAAAGGGTAAACAAAATCAGTGTGTATACATTATGTATATGCGTGACAAATTCATAAGGAAACCCATTGGCTTGTGCAGTGAATGTGTAAAAAGTAAAACATATAAGTACAGATATTAGATTATAAACCAAACTCTTCAGTTGTTCATATTCTGCAAAAAGCTCAACAAAGCCTTCTTGCAGTTGTATCCACACAGTCTTACCTACTTAGAAGTCACATAATATGTTTATTTAGGTCATTTAATATATGTAATTCATAATTCAGTTAAATTAATCATAATTCAAATCAATTATGAACAAGTACTTTTGTATTATGCCGTAGTCAGCACAATTAAAAAATGAAATTTACTGAGAATACTTCAAAGTTTCACCAAATAATAAATTAGTAATTAATCAAATAACATGAATGAACTGTCTTGCTTTCCATATCTACAAAACAACATGAAGTGAAAATTTCTGAGAACTAATACCCAGGATCAAATAGACTGCTGAAATTTCCAGAAATTCCCTGGGTCTTTTGAAAGGTGAAGAGAAGCTGCAGGGAAAGCAAAGGAAACATGTGTGTTAATATAAACCAGAGACAGGGCCACAGTGCACAGCATGCTTAGAATGCACAACTCTCTGGACATGATTCCGGCACCATGCAACCATGCAATCTAACTCAGTTACCTTTCCTATTTCTATGATAAAATACCACAACAAAAACAAATTATGGAAGGAAAAGTTTGTTTTGGCTCCCAGTTCAGGATTACACCATGATGAAGAAGCTAGAAGACAGAAGCTTGAAGCAACTGGTCACACTGCATCTCCAGGCAGGAAGAAGAGAGCAATGCACACTTGCGCATAGCCCACTTTATTCTCTTCATACAATCCAGGATCCCAGCACAGGGAATGGTGCTACCCACAGTGGACTTCTATGGCTGGTCTTTCCACCTCAATTAACCAAAGCAAGATAATCCTTCATAGGTTTGCGTAGTGATTCTAGATCTCAAGTTGAAAACTGAGATTAGCACAAGACCCACAAAGGCTACATTTACACTTTTATTTGTAGAACAGCAGGATGAATAAAAAGAAATTGTTCAACAAAATGAGATCACTAAAGTCTTGATTCTTTGGAGGACTCAGTGGTTCCTTCTGTTATTGAAGTTAGTTTTAAAATAAGATTGTGCCAAGGAATGAATTAACAAGATTTGGTTATTTGTTGGTTTGCTTGTTTCTTTGTTACTTGGAAATGTACCTAGAACCTGAGAGACATGAATGGTCTACTTCTGATCAAATAGTCTTACTCTCTTAACACTTTTATTTAGTGACAGAGATGACAAATTATTAACATATAAAGTTGTATCTTTACTATTTACAAAGGAAATTGCTAAAATTAATATTTGTAGAATGATGTGTTAGGTATATGGTGATCAAATAATGCAGATAATCTCTAGCATACATAGTTCTCATAAGAATAAAAAGGCACAACTCTAGTGTCTTAATATTTTAGTACAGGGACTGTTTATAATTCAGAAGGCAAATATACTCACGGCTACTAAAAGTAGCTAAAATGATTTCAGCTATGATTAAAGCTCACTAACAGAATGTGTGTTTAGTATGTAAGAGATCCTATATTAAACATCCAATAGTAACAAAATAAAGTCAAGTACAGAATTAAAATGCAAACAACTTGGCCATAAAAATTGAAATTATGTGGTAAATCAGGTAAAGTAGCTGGCAATTGGGAGACAGAGACAGATAGATGTCTGCTTGAGGCCATCCTGGTCTACTTAGTAAGTTCCAGGATAGCCAGAGCTACATAGTGAGACCTTGAAAACAGAACAAAACAAAACACCAGATGACATAAAATTTTATTGTGTAATACTTGAGCTAAAGCAAAATGTAAGTTATGTCCTTAATATCTACTAAAATAAAAAATACTAAGTACAGTGGATATTGAGAAAGAAGTAAACCTTTTAGTAATGAAGGGCATGCATATGCTTTGATTACAGTGTCAATACTTAGTTAAAGCGATTCACTTTCTTAAGAGGATCATATTGCAATAAATTTGCCAAAAACAAATTCACTAAAACAAATACAGCAGTTAACTGAATACAATGCTATGCCTCCAGTGCGGACTTTCCTTCACTTCTCTCCCAGGGTCCTGAACCACTAGGTTGGAGATCATGGGTTTAAGGAATTTGAACTCACCAGTTCCAGACTCCCCAGTCAGACACACCTCATACTGGTAGCTCTGGGACAGAGTTCCAGTTCGGCCAACATCCACCAGGTGGCCAGGAAAGTGGCTCTCAGGCACAGAGAAGGCACCCAGAGAAGCCGCCCTGGCCCTCTTGCACAGCCTCATCCCAATGAAGAGCAAGACAGAGAAGAGGAAGAGTGAAGACACAGATGACAAGGCAATGACCAGGTAAAGCGTGAGAGCGTCATCACCTTCCTGAGTGGGGTCCTGCACGACTTCAGACAAAGGCAGGTAGGGCTGAGAGAAGCCATCCACCAGCAACACATGCAGCGTGACTGTAGAAGAACGAGGAGGATCGCCATTGTCCTTGACCAGCAGCACCAGCCTGTGCTTGGGCACATCTCGCTCACTCAGCAGCCTGGTGGTGCGCACCTCGCCATTGTGCGCCCACACGCTGAACAGCCCAGGCTCTGTGGCCTTGAGCAGCTGGAATGACAGCCAGGCATTCTGGCCAGAGTCTCGGTCCACTGCCACCACCTTGGTGACCAAGTAACCTGCCTCTGAAGCTCTGGGCACTAGCTCCTTACAAAGCGCAGAGGCATTCTGCAGAGGGTAGAGCACGAAGGGATCATTGTCATTGTCATCCAGCACCACCACGCGTACCAGAGTCTGGCTGCTGAGTGCAGGTGAACCATGATCTGTGGCACTCACGCCGAACTCGAAGGCCTGCAGGACCTCATAGTCCAGTGCCCTGAGTAGGAACAGCTGCCCATTGTCTTCACTGATGGAGACGAGAGAGGTGACAGCCAGCTGCAGATCATGGGGCGGCAGCAACGAGTAGCTGATGTGGGCATTAGAGCCAGAGTCTGAGTCTGTGGCGCTGATGGTGCCTATGTGCAAGGCGGGGCTGTTGTTCTCACGGACGAACATGTTGTAGGAGGTTTGGGTGAAGGCGGGGGTGTTGTCGTTGACGTCAGAAACCTGCACTGTTATGGTGTGCTGGGTTGTGAGCCTGGGTGTGCCCAGGTCCGAGACTGTGATGGTGATGTTGTATTCAGCTTTGCTCTCTCTATCCAGTGGCCCTTCTGTCACTAAAGTGTAATAATTCTCAAATGTGGGCTTCAAAAGAAATGGAAGTTCGTTCTGAATAGAACACACCATCCTTCCATTTTCCCCTGAATCTGGGTCAGAGACACTGAAAACAGCAACTACAGCCTCAGGAGCATTTTCTGGGATGGAATTAGTGAGCGAAGATATTGTGAGTTTAGGGGCATTGTCGTTCACATCCAACACCTGTATAGCTACAGTGCATTTTCCTGAAAAGCCTCCTGGGTCTGTAGCTACAATTTCCATGTCATAATATGGAGTTGTCTCAAAATCTAATGCCCCTTTAAGACGAATTTCTCCTGTGATTTCATCTATTACAAATGGTTGAGATACTCCATTGCCTTGAAACAGAGAGTAGGCTACATTGCCATGTATGCCAGCATCTAAATCCCTGGCAGACAC